ACTAATTTCCCTCTGGTCTTTTCTCAGTCAATACCAATCACGGTAGACTATTCCATCAAGTACACTGCGTGGTGACACCACTGACAGAAACAATCCTCCCACACCCCCATTCATTTGTGCTGTTCATAGAGAAGTGGCTGATGAACACTTTGGACAAGTCAGGTGGAAAATATGATCTTCTGATCTCAGTGAAGGAATTATATTGAACCCAGTCACAAAGTGGAAAGAAAAAAGAGAGCCATCACTAAAAATATCCCTTAAAATTACATCTTATAATAAGTCTATAAAATCCATTTCCCTGTAGTATTTCTACTTCATTTCTCAGTCATTCGAAGGCAATCCAGTTCCGAGACAATTATGACCTATGCAAATGCTTTGCTGACCTGACCTGTTCATTCCCACTGAGCACATATGTACATGTGTGTTTTGTATTTGAAAAATTAAAAAATAAATAAGATTGTCAAAATAAATTCAGGAATGTAAAATGTGGGAGAGCTGTAAAATTCACTGTTTATATTGAATGAATTATCACTAATATTCAAATGAGCAATTACTAGCAAATTGATTTGTCCCCTAGGGCTACATGTTGTCACATTGCCATGAGAAAAGAATTTCTTTATTTATGCCTTTGTGTTAGAAGAGGCTGTGTCACATGTCATATGTTTGGTACCATTTTATTATATAGAGCCAATGAGACAAAAAAACAAAGGTAGAGAATGTGTGGGGGTGGGGGTGGGGGTGGGGGTGTGGGTGCCAGCGTGGGAGCGCAGCCTCAGGTAAAAAGCAAAAATAGAGATGGAGGGAGGCGGCATACATTTTTAATCAGCTATTAGTGCTTCGCTTGAGTTAAAGAACTAGATGCTGTAATTCTATCTAAAAACCTTTCTGGTTAGAAAGATAAATAAAAGTCCCATTTATGTGGTGATCTAGCTAAAACCATATACTTAGAAAAAAATATCAAATACCTTAAATGTGAGTTAACTTCCACTATTAGATTGGATTTGCCAAGACAAATGCAGGTCTTTTTATAGTTTTGCTCTCTTTCTTATACATGTAATGACTAGCACATAGTTGACATTCAATAAACAGTGTCAAAGCAGCGTAACACTAGAAATATTTTTGGCCTTTCTGCCAATTAGAACATAGTTGATAAATACTGACTCTATAAGGAAGTTGTATCTATAAACTGCATGACTTTTTTTTTTTTTTTAACCTAACATGCGGGGAAATAAACATCACTACTTGCATCTTTTCAACAAAATTTCAAGAAACCATTCTTGGATGTACTTAATTTTTCTCTCTCTCTCTCAAAAAAAGAACTGATCATCACTTAGGTTGGGTTTTCCTTTTGTAACTTTACCTTTGAGATAAGTATGGATTAAGTGAAGAGGAAGAGGAATCTAATTTGGTAGAATCAAAAGATTCTAAAACTTTTTTAAAATAAAAGATCTTTCACATATACAAAAACAAACTCATTATCCACAATGGATTTCCTAATTCTTAATTACATACATCGCTACCTTTGTAGCCTGGAGTGTTAAATATAATAATCTAGTCACCCAGGCCAAAGAGGAATGTAAAACATTTCTCATGACATGGTCTATTTGTGTCCTGTTCTCCTTAGGGTATTTGTTGCTAGACAGATACTTTATTGTTTATATTTTTGTTTTTCCAGGTTGCTAAAGAAAAAAAATCACATTCCATTCAACAGCTAAATGTCACATAAAAGTGCTTTAACCTATGGAAAGATAAACTTTCTAAAAAAGTATTATAGCAGCTATGTCCCTAGCTTTCGAAAAACCAAAAATGTAGTTATTTATTGCTTTTGCAAAGTCCTTTCCCATATCCTTTAATACAGACAATTGTCTTATGAAATAGCTGGTATACATTCTATTACTATTTGGCAAATGAAGAAACAGAGCCTTAGTGAGTTAAAGGGGCTTGTTTAAGTTTACACTATTAGAGAAAGGAGATTAGTAAACAGGTTGTCCAAGGTTTCTTCTTAACATTAGAATTTTCTATTAAAAAGATATACCGTCACTGGGTATCAATGTCACAGAGATAAAGATTGAGGGCCATTTACCAGAACTCAGCACATTAGTTATGACAGGCATTTACTTAATGGTTTGAAAATCTCAAAGGTATTTAGCAATTCCTACAAAAGGTCTGGTGTCAGAGTCACTGATATTAGCTTTCCATAGATTTTTATTTAATTCATTTGAAAAGCATGCATAGTGTTCCAGCATGGCCCAGCACTCCCCTGTGTGCCAGGGCTACAAAACTGAGTAAGCTTGTTTAATGGGAAAAAGAGGTAAGTAAATACATTAATTTAATTAAACAAGTATAATGTATGAACAGGATGTTGTAAGTATCCAGGGTAATTTTCCTTTCTGCCATAAGCCGTAGTCTCTGCTTCTTTGTTCACATTAATGAGCTTGGCAAAGAGACGTGTAGTAAATAATAGTCACTCTGGGCCTACCTATAGGCAGCTTTATTTATGAAAGTATTCATTTACTTCAGCTGTCAGACAATAATTTTTCAATTATCGCAGTGACTAAACTATAGGCCCAACGTATGGGCTACCTGATCTGGTCAAGATCCCTGCCCTGTGTTTCCCCTTCATTTGGAGACCCCTGCTTAAGACTCTCTTTGAAGAAAATAGGGCCCCTATAATTGGGTTTAGATGAGGTCATGAGAATGGGACCCTCATGAAAAGATTATCACCTTTATAAGTAGGGATACTGGAGAGCTCTCCCCACCCACTTGAACACTCCCTGCTACCCCCCTACCCTAGTTAAGGTGAAAGATCACACAGATAATGATAAGTATTACACACTCACCATCATGTATATTTCTCTACTAGGTGATGCCTTTCTTAGTGAAAAAAAAAGAAAAGAAAAGAAAAGATATTTTGTTTGTATTCCCAGGACCTTCCATCAGATTTAGCATAGACTCCATTAACAGTGACAATCTCTGCAAAGGATAAGATAGAGTGGGAAGTGATGGGATTTAACTGTCCTTAACACCTCCTCTATGGTTTCTATTAAGCATCCGCACTGCACCCCCACATAAATATAGAATGTACCTAAAACCATTATGCATGCATGCTAGATCAATGTCAAAACAAGCAAGGTTCAAAGCCCCCTTCTGACAGATGCTTAGAAAGCTCTCCTGTGTATCACCCAAACTCGATGATCATCCATTATATACCATTGGGGGAACAGGCAAAGCAAGGAACATTAATCACTGACTCACCATGATCTTTTTTTTAATCAAGTCTATTGAACTATAACTTACATTGGTAAAATTTTCCATTTTCATATATAAAATTTAAGTTTTGACATATGCATAGTCATATACAGCCATCACCATAATTATAGTGTTTATCATCTCTCAAAAATTCTCTTTGAATTATCAGAATTATAAATGGACTCCCTGGAGAACCACAAAGTCTATCAATGTTGTAGATTACATAACAGATCCTTGTATCTTGGACAACTTAATATGTCTCCCCAAAATGATTATTTCCCTCTAGTTATCAAGTATCTTGATAAGTCATTTGATTGTGTTGCATTTTTCTTTCAGTAAATAAGAGTTCATTGTCATTCTTCTCTACCCCCACCAAAAATAAGCCAGTTTGGTCTAAGTATAGAGCTTCGTACACCAACGATGAAGTCAATATATCTCTTCTCCAATTTACCTGTATGTACCTATTACTAGAAACAGTCTTGTAAATATTTTAGCAATGTAAATTATTGTTTTTTTAATGTGCTAGCCTTTAGTTTTATCAAGACATTGTGCCTTTCTCTTGTTTATTTGTTATATTCCTTTATGATGATTATGAAAAAAACTTACATCCTGGGAATATTTTCTGCATTTGGATTTGATGGGATGAACAGAAAGACATAGCAAACAAGTGAATGACTGAATGAATGAGTGAATGGATGAATGAGAGGTGACCTCCATTTCATGGATGAGGTATCTTCTGAAAGGCACCTTGAGGTCAGACAACTGGCAGGAAGCCACACACTGATGTCCTCACAGTGCCCAATCAGATGCCAAGTTCCCTTTTTTGCCCTATCCATTTAGCTAGAAGCTTGAGTTTTAAAGCCTCATAAATGTTAATATTAAAAAATAGAAAATGGAAAAAGTAGACCATACACAAATTAAATGTTTTTTGTGTGAATTGAATGTAAAAAAAAATTAACATGAGTGACAATTTTGGGAATAAATAGTTCCCTGAATAAGATGTTTTCCTCTTATTTCCAAGTCCTTCCTCTCCATTAAATGGATTCAGTTATACTTTTTGGTAATGTTCTTTGTATTTGTTTTGCACAGTGTACTGTGTATTTATTGTCCATTGTGTGCTTTTTAAGAGACTTCTTTACTGAATAGTTACCTTCATTTATTGCCCACTATAGAATGACAGGGAGGAAAGGCTTGAAGAGATTCTACATAGAGAGATCGTCCATTGTTATTTACACTCTTGCACTTTATTTCCTGTTTCTCCACATTTTGGACAGATCAGGAATAAATTTGATGACATTTCCATTCAGATGCTTTCATGCAGGAGCACCTACCAAAAGAATTTCAATGAGCAAGAGATAAAACCGATGTGCATTTTATAGGAAATGGCTTTAAATGATCCTGATGCCAAAAAAGCAAGGGGAAAAGGCAGCCCTCCCGAGGGGAGTCCTCTGCTCTCCGCGCGTTCAGAGCTGCGCCTTCACCCCATCAGCTGCTCAGATATGCATGAATCGCTGCGTCTTCCAGATCGCTCTTTCTCTCCCTCTGCCTTTCTGGCTCGGCTCTGCCTCCCTCCCTCTCTCCCTCTGGCTTCTGCTCTTTCTTACTCCTTCTCTCAGCTGCTTTAACTACAGCTCCCACAGGAACTTGCACAATCAAAAACAGCTCTCCTCGCGAGCAGCCTCCGTAAGCGCATCACCTGGATAGGGCGACTCGCCCACCTCACCCGCCGCTGAGCCTCCAGGTAGCTGGGGGCGCCCGGGGGTGCCCGCCTCCTGCTCGGCACATCTCCCGCAGCAACATCACCCTGGAATCCGCGGCACGCCAGGGTCCTGTAGCGGTGATGACTGTGTTCCTGAGCAATAATGGAAAGAGCAAAGCCACTGCCGGTGGCCAGTGAAAGTGGAGAGAAGAGCTTGCTGCAGTAGCTGGTGCTGCAAAATGTGTGAGTGAACCCCGAGCCCTGCCAGTGTCCATCCCGCTCGGTCCTCATTAACTGTCGCCAGGAGGGAAACCGGGTACCAGATGCACTAACCAGGCGGCTGCCACCCTGGATCTATAACTGTGAACTCCTCACTGTGGAAAATGGTAAACAAAGACATGAATGGATTCCCGGTCAAGAAATGCTCAGCCTTCCAATTTTTTAAGAAGCGGGTAAGGACAGGTTTTGCTTGTTTCTTTTGTTTTCTGCTCTTTGAAATGTTTTTGAATGGGTGCCTGAGGTAAACCTCTGGTTTTGTTACCAGACCTTGAATGAATGTTGTGCTTCTGGCTGCTGTGGTCCAGTTGGGAAATGTACTTGACTCGATGTAAATTTGTTGGGGGTGGGAGGGGGGCTTTGGAAAGAGTTGTTTTGGGAGAAGGGGGTTGGGTGGGATGATTTAAGGGGTGGTTGAGCTGGTAATGGGAATTTATCCATCAAAGCCTTAAGATTAAAGGCAGTTCTACCAGAAATGGCCTGAGTATAGTTATGGCTACTAGTGTAGTCAAGGGACTTTACTCAGTTGCGCGCTCTGGGTCTCTCTTTCTCAGTCTCCTCTACTCTTCTCTTTGAAATGTTCAACTTTTTCCACACCCTTCATCCATTGTTCCCTATGCTGCATGATCGTCTTCACTTGCCCAGAGCAGTAGCTTCTGGCTTCCCAAATCCACTCAGCCAATAACTTGCTGAGTCTCTGTGGTAAAAATAGCAGGACCAGAATGACCTTTTGCAGGAATGATGGAATCTAGCATTTTAAACCTTTTTCAAGTTACCTCAGTTTTGCTCTGTATGACCCCCACCCCCCTACTTTTAGAGGTTAATGTGCTGTCGGAATTTAAGTGATAATGTAGGGTCATGTTGCTGTATACATTTACTTCTTAAATTCCTTGTTCTTTCATTCAGAGTGTAAATGTCCATTGGCTGTATCTGAGAAAAAATATTTTTTCTTTTTTGTGTGATTCACAATAAACAATTCATTGTAATGGTCACACTAATGTCTGCTTAAATCTGCAAATTTATACACAAGTGGGAGTTAAGAAACAAATGACTGCAAAGAGACTGATGTCTGACTCTCTCGTGCAGTTTTTTGTAAGCCACATAAGCTCCCTCCAGCCCTCCACTGCCCATCCTGTTTAATACCACAAGGGTAATTTCATCAAAATGGCTCTCTCCATTCATTGTCCCTCCCTTCATTCAGGTCCTTCCTGGGCTGAGTCTCTAGTGCAGCCCTTCACTTAACCTACCACAGACAGAACACAATGAATTACAGGTTGGGCTTCACCCCTCCCTGCACCAAATGGGCAAGTTGGGAAGAAGCTGCAGATTACAGCCTGGTCAGCCCCAACCAGGCTCCTGTGAGCCTTTGACTGACTTCTCATTAGTAAAAGAAAACCTCAAAAGTTCACGGGTACAAGCGTATGCACTAAACCATAGCAAAACCAGCTTATCCTGGCAGTTGCTCCTGGGGCCTGAGCACTGGGGAGCTCACTCTGGAGTGAGATACACGTTGCATCTAAGCAAGTCAGTGCCACTTCTCAGAGCTCGGAGGTATTTGTTCTCCCTGTAGCCAAAATATTGTTTCCCGAGAAAAGGATCCTCTGTGAAAATGGATTTCCAACAGCAGATGTTTTACTAATAATATATACCATAGCTCAAAATTCAGTACTTATTCTTTACTCTTTGAAATAATTCATTTATTTGGTGATACTGGGGAGACGGGGCTCAGGGAAGATGATCTTTTTAAACTCCTCATTCAGGTATTTTTAATCAACCAAGTAGTGAAAAAGTTGATTTTTTTTTCAAGTTGTCTCTTAACTTCTTTGTTAGGAAACCACTTATATACAAATTTGCTGTGTGAGTTCATTTTACTTAAAAGTTTACTTTTACCACTAGCTTTTTGTTGGAGCCTCTGTAGATTTTGAATTCTACAAGGGTACTGATGTCTTACCTGAATGCATGCTGCATGAGAAAAAGAAGTTTACCCAAGGTATCTGGCCTGCAACTTCATCTACCTGGATCTATCCATTGCAGAAGAGTCAGGAATTCCCCTCCTGCTCTCCTTCATCCTCAAGAAGAGCAAACTGAGCAGAATATGACATTGTATCCAGCTATGGACAGCCCCCAGGAGATAATCCCCACTCTTGTCTAGTGATGTGGCCCACAAGGTCTCTGTTCTATGTATTCATTTGGCTTGAACCATGACTTGCTTTGGGCCTTGGCTTGTCATCTGTTTCAGCGGGAGTTTTTAATCACACAACCGATGTAATAGTAAATTGTGTAAATCGTTAAGATAATACTTACGCAAATCCCACTTCTTCCCCTATCTTCTTCCCTTCCCCAAAGGTAACTGCGGCTACTTATTGGGATCTATACTTTTCAGACTTGTTCTGTGTGTTTGTATATAGTGTGTTTGTATATTGTCATGTACTAAATGCTTTTGTTTTCAGCTTAGAATTCTATTGTTGAAGTTCCACACATTTCTGCATATTTTATGTTTAACCTAACTAAACAGTCTTACAAAGTGAACCTTTGTCCTGTGCCCACATGAAACTGTGAATAAATCTTGGGGAAAAAAAAAAAACAACAACCATAGCTTGTTAAGGTTCACTGAAGAGATGATATTTGGACCCAGACTGTGATTGCAGAAGGTTTAACAAAGGTTTCCCTAGTTTCTGAGATGTTCCAAAGGGAGCCTAGGAAGCTCCCTGAAAGAGAAAACAGAAAATCTGCTCTGTCATTCACTTAGGAGAGAAAGTATAGCCACTATTTCCCAAGTGCTTAGTATGTCCTAAACATTATGAGCCAAATGCTTCCACATATTAGCTCATTTAATCATTACGGTAACCCTAAGAAGTGCAAAATGTGTATTAGAGAGATAAAACGACTGGGCCATGGTCACATTTCAAAAATGTAGCAGAGCTAAAACTTAAATTTTGTTTGACCCATATTCTTTTTTTAAGATTTATTTATTTGTGCATACAGAACTGGGGTACATGCCAGAGGCTCAGGGGCGGTGAGAGGCTTCACCAGGGACAGAGCGGGGAGCAGAACAGGCAGATAGAC